TTACTTAATGTACAAATGATATCGAAACTGTTGTGCATATATTGTACAATCTAATTTTTGTATATATACGTTAAACCTACATATATGAACTCTATGGTTCTTACGGATGCCCTTGGTCATATACCTGGTGTGTGATGCTCGTAGTGAAACTGTTCATCTCCTGGATGAAAATGGTCAATTTTTGTTTCCACTACACACAAAACTAATGAATTTAAAATGTTCCCGCAGTGTTCTCGTTGATGATAAGAACAATCTTTACATCGGCCGATATGACAGTTCCAAAATTACAGTGTACAAATATCTAAAGTGATTTAAAACATACCCGGCAAAAGAAGACATATCATATCAGTACTTTGACTTGCAATGAATGTGTTATGTTGTATACATTTTATTTTGACATCAGTAGTTTGATAATAAAGTACATGTTTGTTTGTTTTTATATCGCATCTCGACATCAATATTAAACCAGAAGTATGAGACTGTAGCTCTACTGGTCTGTACATATAACAAAAGGAAAGTACGTAGCACTTGGATTTGACAATTTGCAACAGGCAGCAATAAATAGAATAATGAATCTTATCTACTTGTGTTCCAAGATATTTAAGGAATAAAATCAAAACTGTAGGAGGAGTAGCATTTTGAAAATATTTCCAATTTTAGTAACTATGGCAACAATATTCACAGAAAATTTAAAAAAAATGTACTTTATAACAATTGGTTAATTACTTCAGTATAGCACAATGGTGTTATTATAAGCCACAATAAAGTTAAAGTACTGCAAGGCCTCTGAAAAGCGATTTTTAAAAAGACTGTATAAGTTTTTCTAGAGTAAAAAGTACAGTAAAATTGTGATTTAAAGGTAACCTTAGAAGATTACCAGTAAATATTTCTCTGATTAAAGTCAAATTTTGTTTTGGAAATAAAAACCACTTTCCATGATCTTAAAATGCATGATACAGCATTGGATCATACCACTCAAAACGTCGGATGTAGTAAAATGGTTTTCAGTGACATTATTGCATTGCACTGTTTGGTTAACAAACCTACACCTTTAACATGTTTAATGCACTTATTCAAGTATTTTAATTGTCATCATTTGGGAATACTTTGATTCTCTGTAACCACTTGAACTTCGTTGCCACGCATGGTCACCGATTTTGAAACTTCACCCATGCTTAGTACTTGACACCAGAAACAAAAATCAAACAAAATTTCGTTGCTATGTGTCTCGGTTGCTATGGCAACAGCCGGAAAAGTTTGAAAAATCGAGATTTTCAGCCACCGATTTTGATGAAACTTCACCCATGCTTAGTACTTGACACCAGAAACAAAAATCAAACAAAATTTCGTCTCTATGTGTGCTCATTTCTGCTATGGCAACAGCCGGAAAAGTTTGAAAAATCGAGATTTTCAGCCACTTTTAATCTTGACTGTGGCTTAATAAAAACTAGAAAAAGCAAACAAACCATTCTAACAAAAACATGACACCTTAATGTAACTTATACTGTAAAGAAACTGTTTAGAATATAACTCTAAGTAAGTGGTAACCAAGGGTACATTTGGAATACATTTAAAATGCTGAAAGATGTTTTTTTGAAAAAAATCCATATTCACTAATGGTAGGTGTTACATGCCAAACTCAATCAACGACTGACACAGAAAAACAATGAAAATGTTTGACCTTAAGTATATAAATATAAGCAATATTATTCTATAAATAACTTATGGTTGCCATGGTAACACAGTGTAACCATGCAAAACCAGTAACTAAGATTGGGTTGATGCCACTGTCTTGAGGAAAAACATGAAAATTCAAGACTGGCAAATATGAATCCTTAGGACCTTGCAACACCAAACCATAAGAAAAATTGGGTATAATTGCTACTTTGCAGTGTTACCATGGAAACAAAGTACCAGTGCTTAAAAGTGAATTATTTTTCGCTGCATTAAGAATTAAATTGCCATATAACCAAGAAACAAATTAAAGGACTCAGCTTGAATCGTACTTATCTGTTAGAACTGAAGTTGAATATCATATATTGATAAAATTTTATGAATAAAACAACACTGTTGCTATGGTTACCAAGAAGGGAAAATGTTCGATTTTGTGAACTTTATATCAATATTAAACCCCGTGTGCCAACTTCTTGCATCCACTTATAGATTGGATGATAGTCAAAATAAAAAGTCAAGTTAGCTGTCAATAAATATGAATCATAAAAAATCTACATTTAAGGGTTATCCAAGTAAAAAGAAAATATTTTTCAGGTTTTTAAGCATGTATTTTCTGCTTATTTCCATAGCAACGCTCTATTTAAAGAATCTAATCTGATTTTTTCCAAATGGGAAAACTAGGCGCACACCAACATCTTCAAAATTTGATCATTAGTTATCAGGAAATGTGCTTTTTTTAAAGATAGGATCCGATTTAAACATACAGAGTGTTGCTTTGAAGGTTCTCTGTGGTGTAAAAACCTTGGCAACCATTGCCAACCAAAATGAAATATCATATTTTGTTTTTGGTATATGTTTTAAGGCTCCTTTTTCTATTATTTGGTCACATTTAATCCTATGATTGCGATTTATTTTTACGTGTATGACTTTATAAAATTCAATGAATATTTTTTTTACTTTTGAATACTTTGTTACCATAGTAACGTATGTAATAGTTGATTCACCAACCATGTTTATCATGCATTTGAGACATCTGACCTTCAACTTTTGGAAACAGTCATTGCCAATTGTTTGCTTTGCCGCAAATGTTAACTATGGGGCTCTAAACAGGTTAAAAAATGCCATTTTCCGAACTTTAAGACATGTTGCCATGGTAACTATAAAACATAGCAACCAATTTTTGCCTGATTTCAGTTTAGGGTATCAATGACTTTTATCATAGAGAGTTTGGAGAAATTCTGAGACTATGTGTGCCACAGCTCCTATATAAAATTTCAAATCATTACAGAGAACTGCTCTTAACATCACAAACAAAATACCCTTTTTATGGTGCTAGTAGGGGACAGTAACTGTAAAATCCCCCCCCCCCCCGATTTTCTCCCCATTCCTCATACCCTTAGAGGACCAAGATTTTAACTAGTCTAGTTTTGCTCTATTTTGGTCTTGATTATAGATGGTCAAATCAGAGGTGAAAATTGATTTATAGTTTATGAAAGATGCATAATAAAATGACAATAGATTGCAATAGGTCACCTGAGTTAGTTGGGTGAACCATAATGTGGGCACGTAACATTTCATTTCACAAAAAAAAATTTAAAAATGATAATGGCCAACCTCGTTTATTAATCAATTATTTCTATATCAAATACACAAATACATGTGGGTGACAATTATTATAGTAGCATGAAAATGAAAAAAATAAATGTTTATGTACATAATGAGTTACATGTAATACAATGCTGTGATTACAGGACTAGAACATCCTCCTTGAGAAGTTACCTTGTGAATATCACAGAAAAAGGGCTCCAACTGATTGTTTTTAACAAGAAACAAAATTTAAAGTAAAAATTATTTACCTGGTAATTTTTTTAAAATTTAAAAGTACCCCCAGAGACTTTTTTTTTTTTACCCTCAAAAAATTACAAAATATTGAAAGAGTTATTTTAACAAATTATCTAGTAGAGACAAAAGCTAAATTTTTTAAAAAGTGATTTTTTTAAAAAGAAAATGGGAATATATACTTCTTTGATTCAAAATACATTTAAGAAAAAATCCTGTTAATAGATACATTCAATGTTATGCTGGCACAAGAAAATATGTTTTTTTGTTTTTGGTTTCATTTAAATTATCAGGGATAATTTTACAAACACAATTCCACCACTTCTCAAAATGAGCATTTTCAGATAAACCTTAAATTAAATAAATAATGACAATTCACACTGGATAAAAAATTGCACCTTATTTGCATTGAAAAAAAAAACCCGATAGTGAACCAATATGTTCACAGATTTCTGTCAGTCTTTAGCAAGAATTAAAGGCTAAAAAATCTACTTTCTATTAAGATCAATTAAAAAAAGCAATTATTGTAAATTCAATTATCATGAGAAGTATCACAGACTAGCGAAATTGAAAAAAGTTGATTCTCTCAAGATCAATTTAATTTAATTATACAAGATGAGGCATGTTCATATGCAGCAAAACGTGTTAGTGTCTGGTGAAAAATAAAAAGGTACAGAACTCTTGAGTATGCTTCAGTATATCCATATATAAACATATGATCCAAGGGTCTTTAATGTCCATATGGTTAACTGTAAATAGCTACATGCAAATGTTTTTGGGCCTCAATTGGTCATGAACAACAGCTGTTCATTTCACATGTGCTGCCTTCTTTCTTCTTGCTGCCAACATGTCGTAAAATGGATTCTCGCTTATACTTTGTCTACAAAACAACAAAAAATTGTTAAGTATAAAAATAATTTTTACTGATAAATATCCAAATGAATAGATTCTGTGAAGAATCAAGAGTACCTGATACAACGTATCCATTCGTCCTTCTCGTCGGCGGTGGCAGCTGACATTCTGTACACATTGTGTTTTCCTACAGAGAGAAATCAAAATCATTCAGTGAAACTCTATCCCTAAGAGTCTACTACAAGCATAAAAATTTGAAAATTGCAGACGATATCTTCAAAAACGTGAAACAAAATTTAAGTAAGGAGATTAGGTGGAATACAAGTCTTATACAAGTATACTATCTTTTCTTAAAACACCATGAACTTCTATCTTTTTCATAGTACACTTTCAATACTAATACTTATCAATGCCCAAATCAAGGAAATCTCATCTCACGAAACTTACAAAGAAGCAGTAAGTTTTGAACCAAAGGAAATGACCTTTTTAACAGAGAAGCGCCCCCTACCTTCTACAACCTTTCCTTCCTTGTCCACCTTACAAGCCTTGATGATGTCCTGTCCCGTGGCAAACAGCTCGAAGCTGAATGGCTTGTTAGCCTTGTCTGTTGGTACCTCCCTGATGGAGATGTTCTCTAGAGGAATGATTCCCTTCGGCTCCTTATCCTACTCAGACAAAATGTTAATTAAGAAATTAGCTTTTTAAAATGGATTTATACTAGGGATGTCAAATCGGTCAATTTTTAATACTCGGTTACTCGGACGTTTTTCCGATCGAGTACCCGGGTACTCGGTAAAAGTGTAAATAAATATGAACAAGTAAATTGATGAATGTAAAACATTGTAAACACTTGCAGAAATAAAACCACATGCTTACACGTAAATGCATATCTGTAGAACTTAGTACCCGACGAAATTTTATACAACATTTATTTAAGTTCAATTTATTTATCAGATAAACACAAGAAATAAAATCATAAGTGGTTCATGGTGTTTTTGTTTAAAAAAAATAATCTACTCCGTAATTGTAATGTAACTCTTTGTTGCATTTGACGTCAAGGTACATTGTATATATCAGTCGTACAGTTTGACTTGAACTTGACCAAGTTCTAACAGAGCCGATTTACGATTTTCGTATACTTTTCGATCCTAGATTTTATAGGATCACGGGACGGTATTTTGTAGTTTGGTGCAATGATGGACATCATTTTTTTAAGCGTCTGCCGTCAACTATTTGTACATGTATTGGCATGTAATGAAACACAACCATATCAACAGTCGCACGTGTAATATCATCTGTCTCTAATCCCGAGAAATTCGGCTTCTCGGAGAATTGACAAAATTATCTATTTTATTTAATCATAACAGACCTTAAAAGATGTTCAGTGAAAACAAATAATTAAAGAAAATCAAAAAATAAGGGTAGAAGACAGCCGAAGGTGAGAAAAACCAGGTAACAGGCGCTTGGTCATGATAATTACTGTATAAACACTGCCACGGGCGATAACGGTCATTTAGAGGAGTAGGAAACCCTAATTACTGTATGTACAAGTGCAATGAGTATTTTACCTTTTAAAACAGATTATTTAATTCATTAATAAATAAGCTTAGATATATTCAAAAATATACATCCGAGTAACCGAGTACCGATTTTAGTAGTCGAGTACCCGGTTAACCGGGTACTCGTTGACATCCCTAATTTATACTGATGCAGTCTTGACAAACTTTTTTTAAACCTTAGAGTTAGAAAAACATATGGAAGATTGAAAAAGAATTCAAGAAAGAAAAGAAACTAAAAATTTTTTTCTTTGAAATGTAAACTATATACATAATTGAATTTAAACAGGAAAAAATACAGAAAAAAGTTTAACATAATTATAAATCCATTTCTCAAAATCAATTTTTAAAAGGAAGTGTCTACAAGTCGATCAGTTTTACATTTCATATTTTACACGTTTTTTTGGTATTTTCCATGAAATCCAAAAAAATGAATTTGACCTATTTCCCTTCACAGAACTTCCTGTTTTTAAATTATATTAATTTTTCAAAAATAAAAAATAGCAAAGCTGAATAGTTGAGTTAAAACATATTTTTTATGGACAAAATTTCAGGTCATTTTCCACCTTTTAGTTTATATAACATAACAAAACAATAGTGATAAAATACATGTATCTAAAGTTAAATTTGTTGTCTTCTAATTCTTTTTAAAATTCTAAAACTGTTACATACTGTTGTGAACTGGAAGTAATACAAGCAGTTGTCATTCAGGATAAACCACCTTCTCTTCCAGTTCTTTATTCTGCCACCTAAAAGAACAAGGGAAAGTACAATGAGAAAAGTGACTCTATTTTTTCAAATTCATATATTGATGATAACTCCTTAGTCTTTTAACAGTGAATGCTCCTAAAGACTAATTTGGTAATTTTTTTTGCGTTTTATCAATAGCAAAGATTTCTTTCTTCATTTTGCTTTGTTTTTTTTTTTTTTACATATAAGTAGTGTGGGAAAATTAGCAAAAAACAGGTTATCACTCACAAATTGACCCACTAGAAATTGAAATCCATGCACATTCAATGAAAAAGCATTAACAATAGAGACATTCTTTCTTGAGAAACAAAAAATTATCCAAACTTTAACAAAAGATTTAATGCTAATATTTTGCCGTAAACTCAAAGACAAAACAATTAGGTGCTTGGATACAAATTTTTCCATACTATAATGTTCAACTATATTCAGAGATGATATATTATATCAATTACATGTATTTCAAAGTAGAGAAATTTTATTTCAGAACTACATTTTTCTTCCACCACCATGACTAACAGTTGGCTAATACACTAGTATCTTGACCCAAGTAACAAGTCATACAGAAATGGTTAAATGTGTGTTATAGTGATTTATATTGGGTATAGGATCTTTATATAAATACACTCTTTTGAAGCCACCTGATAGATAATATCTACATGGTTAAGCGATTCCAACATACAAATTTCAAGTACATGTATATTGTACATAATTGTTTTTCAGAGCAATTTTCCAACAGTTTTCTCTGTTTTATACCAATATTATTTACCGGGTACATAATTTTAGATATTATTGGAATTTCTTGAGGTACATGTATGGATAAATATTTTTAAAATTCTCTACCACTGTAGAATGCTGATGTTCAGTTAATTCTGATTAGCAGGAAGATACATGCTCGGAAATGAGTTACTTTTAGTGCAACAACTGGTCAAAGGCACCACGTTTTGGAGCAAAATAATACGAACTTCTACCACCTATAGGCCTCCATGCTAACTTTATTCTAAACATGTATTTTCTATAAACTAATCAAAAATATAATCTACACATCTCTCTTTTTTTTTTATAACTATAGCTCAGCACCAATGTCATAACAGTCATTAAATAATAAAAACAAGTCCCGAGATGTATATATGAATCACTTTTTTTTTTCCAAGCACCAAAAAGCTTTTGCCACATTTGACCAGGAAAGAATGTCTTTGAATATGAAATATAAAAACAAAGAGTCAACAAGAAACATGGCAGTAATACACCAAACTTACTGATTTTTTTGGCCCCTGTGTAAGTAAAGGGGGATAAAAAGAGAAAGATACACAAGCACATCACATTGATTCCAAAAAACACTGAGAATTCATTTCAATGGAGACATTAACCACTACGCTTTTATAAAAACAAAATTTAAATTTTACGGGGTAAAAGAGAGCAAGATCAGAAATAATTTTTTTTAGCAGGCATATAAGTTCTTTTTTGTATTTTTTAGCAAGAATTTGGGAGATTAGTAATTTATAAATTTTTGTCATTCTAACATGCAGTTCAAAGGTTGTATGGGGGTGAAATTCTAGAAGAACCTTGCCAACAATAAACTGTCATGTGATTCTACCCAGAATCCACCTGTATCCCAGACAGTATAAAGCCAGGAGCTTACCTTGTTTACACAACCAGCCCTCCTTGTCGGGGTTAAAGAAGGTATGCATCAAATCATTCCCATCATCCTCTGGGATCTTAAACGGCTCCTTCTTGATACTCTCATACAAGCTCTAAAAGGCCAAAATAAACTTATAATGAAAATATCTACTGTTGGAGTGTTTCATATATACCTGGATGTAGAAATTGCTCTTTTTCACAATATTTTTAAAGTAACAAATAATGTTTATTAATTTCAAGTAAATTCTATCCATTTCAATGCTTTCCGAGGGGTAATATATTTTTCAAATCTGTCAGCTTAAATTATACCATTGTACTTTTAACAAAGAAAATCATCTCAACCTCAAAATACATATGGGTACAAGACTATCAGCGGTTTAAGGTAAACTCTACATCAAACTGACCCCAGACTGAGAAGGTTACTCACCGTCAGTAGTTCAGGTGGTAGATCGCCACCGTCGTTGATGCCACGGTTCATTGAGATGAACCTCTCCACGGTCGGTTTATCCTTGACACTGGGATTGTGGAGACTGGTGTTCAGCATGATGATGGCAAAAGACAGCACGTAACAGGTGTCTGAAAAGGACAAGTGTTTCTTGTTTAATACTTGGTTTTCAGCATTAAAACACAAGGTATTTTTCAAAGCCTTCCAAGAAGTAAATTCCTTCAGCAACATATTATCCACATTGATAATTAGCTGAATTCATGTGCTGTCTGCCTTATACTATTACCGATATTTAGACAGATATAACCCAAGGAATCAAAGGGATTTCATCATATTCAAGATTGCATTACTAAATTCTACAAAAAGCATATACATATATTTGGTGATTAAAGAGAGGTCTTTACAAAACTCTGTGTCCACAATGTTATGTTTCATATTTAGTACCTGTACTGGTAAAAACTCCTGGGTTAAGCTCACAGTATCTCTCCGCAAAACACTCCATCATCCTGTCAATCTTCTGTGCCTCTCCCGGCAAACGGAAACTCCATAGAAATTGTCTGTAATAGGATTGAGATACTTATATTTATGAACAATACAACGATAATGTTTGGCTTGTACCGGTAGTGTTATTTCATACAAATTGATATGAGTTTAAAGCCTTTGCTCTATTTAAGCCTACAAAATATTTTTGATGAAATATTTTTTCATCTTTCAACTGCTGGTAACATTGACATTTTATAACTTTTTAAAAAAATTTTACTGGAAGTTACACTGGTTAGTTTTTATAACTGATTCATTTAATTAAATTAATAATTTTGGGTTTTTATCTATAAGCACCTCCTGCATATTTGTTATTTTCCATTCTTGTGATAAAGGTACTGTAATAACTAATTTTATCTATCAAATAAATTATCTCAGGCAGACAAAAAAGCCAGCCTTTAAAAATTTCTTTTTACATGCTTGTTTTTAAGATAAACCCATTATACCTCAAATACGATCTGGGCGGAACACTTTAAAATGGCTTTGTTTTACACATATTTCTTCTCATCTTTTAACCCCTACAGTAACTGGGGTTAACAAATGTAATTAGCAAATACATTTTTACGCCGGTTTGAAAATTTAGCTCTTCTAGTACCTAGCAGGAAGTAGTCCCAAATGAATCACTTGGCCAAAGAAAATCATTTCATAAAATTGCTGATCAACTATAATTTTGAAGTAATTATGTGACCTGATGCAAGATGTTGGCCTTTACAGGACTAAAACATAACAGTGTATGAGCACTTACCTCAATGCCTGCACCAGAATCATGTCTGAGAATTCATGTTCATTTACAAAGGACTTCAGAACAGATATATTGAAGTCATTCCTGCAAAAGGAAACATAATTGTTTTAATATCAAAACACAAAAAGCAATGCTATGATTGTTTTTTAAATGTTTCCTTGTCATTTTTACTTAGGTAAATAGATATTTATTTAAATAAACTCTATTTGAGTTTCTGTTCTAACCAACATCATTTGACATATTAATATTAGTATAAAGTGTGCAAATGTATTTGTATCTTCACAATCAAAGCATCATTTCCCTCAAGAAATGTATTCCTCTTGAAATCAACAATCTTTTCAACTAAATATTACAATCTAAAATGTTTCCCCAAAATTAAATTAAATTTCAGTGAATAAACAGAACTACATTGCTATTGTAATGAAAACATCATGGCCATCTATGATAAACTATGGACATATAAAATGCATAATCTAATCATTCATATCATCCTATGTGTGATGTTTGATGATCCATATTATATCATAATTTTTTAATTAATCAGATCAAGGAATAAATTGACACATTTTCCATTTCATTAATCACCTTGTACATGTACTATATATTACATGTATTACCAATTACGCATCATTAGACGCATCAATGGACACACATGATTGCCCAGACAGATGATGTCACAAACCCATGTTTTATCAGGTGACAAATCCCTAATGACAAAGACCAATAAAATACACATGTCACGCAGCAGTTTTATTGCTTACTATGGATATTGCATTCATTCACATGCAACACACACAGAAAGGGGTCAAGGGGTCAATCTGCACCGATCATCAATAACATCTGACCAGGTGTGGTTTACCAATGAATTTTCTGGGATTGCATCACTGACCAATATTGTCACGTATTATAAGTCTATAAGTTTTTCTTTTTCTACAGTTACAGCAAAAATTAATAATTTATACTGTCAATCCTTGATGTCTCTAAGCTAGCCTATGTTACTATCATGGATCTGTATGGTCAGTTTAAAGCATGTACCGGTATGTCTTATTTGCATCAAGGGTTGACATTTTGATAGAAAATTTTGTTTGGAAATAACTTCATGTACCCCTTTCTGTATTTTCTTAAATGTTGTCCAATCTATCCTAATACAAAAATCAATTTATCTGTTTTAAATGTGTAGAGTTAGAGAACACAATAAAACGCTGTGCACTTTCGAGGCATGCTAGTCAATTCATAAGTAAACTTATGCTACTGTTTGTCTCTTGGTTACAATAAGATGTACCAATTCATTCCACATCCCTCTTCCATTAAGAAACTTATTAACCTTAACTGCCCCTCCCCCTCCAACCCCCCCCCCCTTTCCCGTTCCATGATACTGGGACTTACCGTTCCCCTAAGTAGTCCCCTATAGCTGTTTTGTTCAGTCCCTCTCCCTGATATAGAAACTTGGCGACTTCCTGGTGGTCATTGTTCAGGAGCTGGTGGTCAATCAGGTACTCAATGCCCTGTAATCAAATTTAAATATTCAGGAAATAGGAACACACAATTTTTACATCATTTTACATAGTAGATGTACATATGAATTGTGGGCCATAAAAAAATTATGTTTATTCTTCCTTTTATTCTTCTAACCATAAAATAAAAATGAATTATACGCTGCTTTGGAACTATAACATTGGATTCATTGTCTGAGAATTTGCTTTTTTTGAAATTTCAATGTTCAGATGATTGACTTAATACCAGGGTAATCATTATTTATGAAGCTGATTCCATTAAACCTGAACACATCATCAGATATGAATCCATAAACAATGTCAAAGAACAAACAAGAATGAGGTATAAATGTTATGTGCCAATTCTTGACTGTCTTATACCATGAACAGAAACCACATAAATTCTGACTATGAACTCCTAACTGTTCACAAACTATAGGTATTTGTTGTGTACAGTGTGGTCTTTGTTCAGCCATAAAACAGACCCTTCATAATATACATGACAAAATTTAAAAAAGAAAACCTAATCTTCATAAAGTACTTCTATAAACATAACTGACAATCCAGAGGACTGTGTGAACTGTGCAAAAATTGAAGATACTAGAGTCCTACTCTTTTAGTTCTCATGATGCGTGGCACTTATAAGCACTTGAAATCGCTTTAGTAGCAGCAGAACAATTTGTTACGCAATCTGAATTTTTAAATAAGCAATCTATGTAATTTTACAAGCTTGTTTAGCTATGATCTGGTTTTTTTAACATACGTAGAGAACAGGAAGGTAAAAATTAAGTGTGTTTCACCCAATCTATCCCATTAAAAACTATCTACTTACTTATAATATCTTCCTTATTGCTTTTCACATATGTATGGGTTAAATAGAGAAGGGACTAGGTAGGAGAAAGAGAAAATGGGAGGAACATTTCAGCAATTTGTATATACCTAGTATTCCTAAAAGCCATTTGTGTCTTTTATTAAAGCAAAAACATGCGAGGAGTCTGCAGACACATTTTAATCCAAGATTGCTTTCAAAATCAAGAGATGAATGGAACCAGAAAAATATCATTCAAGAAATGGAAACTGTTTCTCCTCTCAATTTTTGGATCTCCCTTTGTTTATTGCTTGAGGAAAACCTTTCAGCCTCAAGGCTCGTGAAGATAACCAAACATACAATGAACAGATTCCTATAGCTTTTATTCTCTTTTTCTGCAATTAATTCTATTAGTGTGTAATCGAGAAACAAAAAATCACAAATTCCTGCCACAAGATAAAAATTTAGACTTTAATTTAATAAAGAGATGGCACTGGTCCAGAACTAAAGTAATCTGAATTTCATAGTATACATTGAATGCACTTTTGCCCTCACCATTAACTCAAAATGTCAGGTAAATCATGCTTTCAAAGACTGCAAAATACCTTTTTTTGTATTTAACAACTCTAAATCGTTTTTTTGGGAAGTAAATAGTAATAATATTCTGAACTTATGATGGTTCTAAAGTCTATGATAAGCTGTGCCTACCACAAATATAGGCATACAGTCTAAAAATATTAATATCAATGGCATCCTAGTCATGCAAATCTTTCATCAATCTTGTGATTTTTGCAGATTTTTGAAAATTTTAAACTAAATTTTAAATAATATGTTATTAATGGAATGGTCAAGAAACCAACTAAACACCTGCATCATGGAATACTTAGTCGATAAAGTGTCTATAAATACCAGAAAAGTAGTTTAATCTTTACAAAACAATCATAACAATTATTTGTTCATGTTTAGGGCTTTTCTGTTAACTGATTTCTTTCAGGGGCATAGCAGTGTACTATCATTTAATTATTTGTGAGCTAAAAACACAAAACTGTCCAGTTGAATGGGTATAGCAAAACAGAGTTGTAGCCAGGGCCAATTGAACACACTAGGTTTATTGGTTATTCATTATTTTTCTTATAGTGTGCGAGAAAAAAACAACTTCCCTAAATGCAAGAAATACACTAGATTTGATCTTTTTTAAATCATGTTTAATACTATATCAACATGATCAATGGACAAAAACAGGGATATGATAGAATTGAAGCTCGATGAAAATAAAGGGAAAATGGCTTATATAAGACCCTTAATTTCACTAGTATATGCTTTATATAATGTCCATGTTTGTTTTGTTTTACCTTCTTTGGATCCATGTTAAATTTCTTCTTCCCAATGGACATCTGTTTATTCTTGGGATTGTTTTTGCTAAAATAAGATCAATTAAAAATAATAACATTCTTGTTTATCAAAAGGCAAAGACAGTCCAAGTGAGTAATTAATAAACATTGTAAACAAACACATAAATCATTTGTTTTGTATGCCCATTGAAAGAAATTTTTGGGGACTAAGGATGTCTTTATTTTCACAATTTCTTTTTTTAACATCTATATCTGATATGTTTAAAGTCACAATGTCCCATATACATATGTATTAGCATAAATATCAGCTGTTTCAATATTTATTCTGTGACCGTTCCTTTCCATTCTCAACACACACAAACCAAAATGGTTTTTGTCAGATCCGAGTTTGCTTGCTTGAAAAACATGAAAAAAAACTCAGCAAATCTAAAGTATCGGACTCTTTGTTACCGACATATGGTAGGGATATGATGTCATTGGTTGATTATAATCAACTTCTACAATCCCTAATGCCAAAGCATTGGTGGAATTCAGATAAAAGCTACATTTGTGTGTCTGAACACAATGAGAATTTTTTTTTATACACAGATAACATGTTTATAGTTCTAGCTGAAAAGACCATTTTTTTCCTCTCTGATAAATCTCATCTTACCTCTCATCTGAGACCTCGATGGTCTCCATTTCATTGGAGACCTCAGCTATTTCATCTTTGAGTTCCTAAAGAAAAATTAAGAGAATTAAAAGATAAACCAAATTAAAACTTTAGTTCTGCTAATCTAGAAACTTTGAAATTTAGATTGTTACAAAATCCTATGAAGATTTTTGTAAGTATAATGTTGCAGGTTGGATACATTGAAATGTTTCTAAATTGCTCTCATGTTTGTTTAACTGCTGCAGAAAAGATTTGAAATTCTTCAGCTTCCAAAAGAAAAGACAGTTTTATGACTTTTTGAAAATGTTAAACTCATGGAATTAAGTTTCTCCATTATCTCAAATGGTGCTTAAATTTAACCATAAAGATAAAACTAGCACTGATTGGCATGTATGAGCTGAAGGAAATACCATTCCCGCCATTTTCGCAATGTATACCTTAAGTAAATTTCCCCAATGCAACAGAGTTCTATCACAAACAATTCCATCATCCATGAGCATCATTTTCTCAGTTTGATTTTTTTTCAAAACCATTTATATGACTTTGGTTAACACACGGTTTTCACAAACATTCACATTTTTACAAAGATTTATACACTTTTGTGTCATGTCTTTTTAATCCATATAAGTCAAACATATCCCATCCATTCAATACTTTTAGATTAAAAAGTAAATTGAAAAACGAATCCACTTGAAATATATATTGTTGCGTCATAAATTCAATTTTGATATTCTGTTGTAACATATAAATTAAAAAGAAAGATACAAGAGATCCTGTTCCTTTTGATACCACATACGGTTATTGATGCACAATTTTGACACCAAATTTACCACTCGGATGTATTGAACTCAAATGTAGGAAATAGTCCCTTCACATGCTCATAATTAACACAGGAAATACAGACAAAAAACAGCTAAATGCCTGATCACAACACGAATATTGGAGGAAAATAAAAATAGATGATTAATGCTCATTATAATAAATTGTCAATAGTGGACAATCGTGGCCCCAAACAATGGACAAGATCGCGATAGATATTATTGACAGTGCTTCATGTCCAGAATAATTAGCGCAGATGACTGTCAGTCTAGTAGGCATAGGAACTATATGTGTAGCAAAAATATGGGGGAGAAATAGCATTAATGATTCAGGAATATTTCATTTGAAGGAGCCTCTTTTAATTCTGCATGAGTCATACTGCCTTTTGCATCTTTAGTTCTTCGGGTGACACATCAGGGATTTTTGTCATATAATTGAAAGAAAGCTTTTGATGGAGTAGTTCAGAATCAGTGTCTAATAGGGAAATGAAATCAATCTATACAAAATTTTGATACTTTAAACCATGATCATGAAAGCTAGTTTACAAACATTTTTTTTAAGTGCCAATGCTTAAATTTTCTGCCGATCTTTAAAAAAAAACCATCTATTTTTTTTCCCCTTGTCTTTAGATTATAAAGTAGGTTTAGAGCTGATTTTACACCAGTTGACATCTTGATAATATAAACAGCTTTCTCTTATTTCATGACCTTCATCCTTTTCTCTCTTTTATTTTAGTTGATAGCAGCTTGCTCTTTGACCTTCTGATTTATCTGGACTCTGTCTTATCCCATTCCTAGTCAGCTTCTGTAGACAGGGCAATCAGCTGTCTGGCACTTCAAAATCCCACACACCAATAATTCTTTCAGTTTTAATTATCTTAGTTTACACAGGAAAAAAAAAGTTTCTTCAGAGCTGCTGAACCAGCACAGAGAACAACACAAAACTTATCATCTTTCTTTTTTATGTTCCTCTGGGGTGCAGGATATATTTATTACTGGTACATGTATAAAATTTGTACTTATTAAAAGAAAATTTAAGCATGGAATATGAACTTCTATGATCTTCATCTATAATCTTTATGTAATTATTAAACCAGTGCTTCTTTAAACTTATTTTTGACAAAAAGGAAGGATGCAGTTAAAATCATGAAGTGTTTTGGAGGGAAAACACATCTGATCATGAGAAGCTGCAGATGTGAATCAATTTTTCTCACCAAAGATTCCCTGATAACAAAATAATACAATAACATGATGCACCAAATCTATTAAGGGAAGGTAAAAGAGAAATGAAAGGAAAAAAGAAGAAAAAAATTAATCAAAAAGATACCATTCCACATGTTTCAAAGAAAAATAAAATAAATAAAAAATAAATTATATCCACGTACCTGGATTTCTTGAAGGAGTTTTTGCTTCCTCTCGCGGATGGTTTCCAGAAGCTGTTGTTCCTCAGGTGTCAGATCTGTAACAACAAACATCCAGGAAGAATTACAATTAATGGCCACCGCTCACTTCTACTGACCAGCAGTCAAAGTTCTAGCTCAAAGCTTCCTGCTGACTTCCCCATCATAACAAGTCAATGATGAACACATGCACACAATAAACTTCTCCTTTCTATAGTATTATACAGGGTCTGCTTTTAACCTACTTAGCTAATCCACTGAAATGAGCCACTTTGTTAGACACAAATGTGCATTTGGACCAACCACACTCTCCAAATGATAAATTTCATAGGAGGCAAATAACTATTAATTATTTGCAAACATTTGGTCTATATATCTTGAAGCTGTAAAGTTTCCCATCCATTAGAAATCTAATACTTCAGCTTTTTCTGACAGCCACTGGATGAACATGGATGATACATGAAAACTCTGCCACCAAATGGTTTAGAAATGAACTGAGGATCTATTGCTTTTTCTTAACAATCCATGAGAAATCTAGCATATGCTGGCTTCATCAAAACAAGGCCCTCGGATCCTTTATCAGTGATATGATGTGTAACTGCTCCTTCTAACTAAGCCCCCCTCATTGCATTGTCTTCGATAAGAGCATTACTTCTTGAAGTTAAATAAGTATTTCAAGGCCTTCTATTTATATAACCAAATTAAAAACATTATTTTTTTTTAATCTTACCAATACCTTGGTCTAAATTGTACAAAATGGAAATACAGCTGAACTTCGGAATCTCAAACATGGATATCTCGTTCACCATGGATAATATGTCAAAGTGATTTAGAAGTTCCAAGGTCTTTTAGAAAGTATTTTAAATATCTTGAACCCTTGGTTATTTAACTTTTGACTGTAGTTAAGAAAGATTTTTACCGGGTAGTTGAAAAAGTAGCACAACTTGCCTAAATGCCAAAAAATGCAAAATTTAAAGGATATGTGTTATAAATTACTAAATTCCTTAATTACTGCCTCAGATTTGCACATCTCATTTAGAGGAAATAATTATCTTAACAACAAGGGATAGAAATACTTCATTTAAAGTTTAAATGAACATACCTGCACATATTTATATTAGCATATTTTTTGGAAAATAAATACAAGTACTTATGATCAGCATGATAATTTGTAACATGTTCCTGTTTATTCTTTTTTAGCCAGAATACTTAAATATCAAAATAACATTTGAATACATGTACTAAAATGTTATCAATTAGCAGAGTATGGGAAATACTGTGGAAATAATGTTTGTTCCTGACCTGATTTTAGTAACAATCCATTTCCCTATTATAGCCTAAAATCTCTATTGAATTATTGACATAATAAATAAGTATTATGACATACAGTTATAGATAAATTTGAAAATTAATTATATCTCTAGACTAAGTAAGGAACAATGTACACATAAAAACAATTTACAGTGTACAATACTTTATTCTGGTACAAAATATAACACACCCCTTTCAAGACTTTAGATTGCTATGTCAGTTCCCATAACAACTAACAATTCCATATTTAATATTATCATATTATCATATGCTAACATGTTAATTTTTGTCTCCCTTTGTTTTACCTTCAACTTCCTACAGATGTAAACTATTCCAATTGCATAAATCCTAAATTGTCTGTTTTATGTAGTATGTGAAAATTAAACATGTCACTCACAAGACCCAAGCTCAGATTGTGAGGAAATTCTGGGAATAAAATGTCAATAGTGATGTCCAGGATAAAACATTTCAGGAAATGCTGAAAACAAACATGAATTTTTTTCTTGATTTTCCTTCCTTCATGTGTGATTATACTGATAACATTAACATGTTATGCATTATGGAAGTTAATTGCTAACATGGACAAATAGAAACATTTTATTTCAATGCTAAGTGTAGCCTTAGAAGATGTCAGAGGCTACTAAAATCACAGTGTCAAATTAGATTTTTCTCCTCCAACTGGAGCAATACATTTATCTATTATCTATGTTAACAAAAACATTTTCTGCCAATCACAAATGCATCTGTGACCCCTCTGATGTTAAAATTCTTGCAAACCATAATAATGCTCCTTTACTTATGTTAATTCACTAAAATATACCTAACACGCTAGACCTGAGGTGTAGCATAATTTTGTCTCCTTTGTGAAAGCAAAAGATTTTGAGTAAGAACACAATTTGTCATATATGACAAGGAACACACAGCAGGTGTGACCGGTCATCAGGGGATGCTCTCTCATGGCACCTGATCCCGCCTCTGATGTTGGAAGTCCGTGTATGCTTTGCTCCTATTTTGTAATGTTTTATGGACTTTTAGTCTTGAATACTGTTCGTTATTTCCTGACCATATGACTCATACGTGATTTAAATGTTTTTTGTTCTTTGATTCACATATAGTAATACATCTATATAGATTTTCTAAGCTAATAAGATACACACAGCATTTTTGACAATTTCACAAAAGCGAGCAAGACAGAAATAACAAATGACAGGAAATCTCACAGATTAAATTTCTGTAGTGATAGTTCCTTAATCATTATAACATTTGTTTATCTTATTGTTAAAAAATGTCACAAGACTTATAAATTTCAGAATTGCTTTTAAACAGGATGTTTTCAAAATTTGTACAAACAATGATAACTTGAGACTCTTTCAGAAATCAACAACTAATAATGTATGACAGCTCTGGCTATGGATTGAAACTGAGAGCATTGAAAACATTGATGCTAGCACTCAGTCTGCTAAAACCTATGATCAAGATGATTGTCCTTTTTACTGAAATATATGCATATTCATATTCTAGTCTAATCACCTACAGATTTCCTGCTTTGTAAGTCTTACACTGAAAAGGGTGAGAAAATTTCCTGACACAGGTATATTTGGTTTTAGCTGCAATAATGTAGCCATCTCCTGGGGGGGGGGGGGGGGTGTCTATAATAAAAGTACAATTCCTATGGATCTTGGTAGGCTCCTGAGGAGAATGACTGGTAAACATTAACAAGCACATTTTTAACATGGTTTTAACATTTAAAGGGTAATGTTCATTATGTTCTTGAATCTTGAAAGTGAATAAAAGTTTGTCTTATTAGAAGTAAGTTTTATGTAAAAACAATTAATCAATTGTCCATATTTAAAAAATATATCTGAAATATTAACCGAGAGGCTGTGGGATTGTAGCCATGTCCAGAAAATATCAGTTTAACAAAATCCGAGAGCAACATTAATGTACAGTCTTCGCGAAAAAGAATAATCGCCACAGGACATTCGGACAGACAGTTAACACAATTTCACAGGACCAAAAGAATTTTCACCGGTCCAAAACTTTTTCATATAATGATCATAACGATGTTTTTTTCATAGCATATGAATCAGAAAACATGTATTAAACTTAAAAAAATATATATGTTTGTTTCCTGTAACATTCCCAAAAAAATAAGGGTCGGTAGGTCGGGAATTCTTTTTTTTTTTTTTTTTTTTTGCATATGTATGGCCAAACATCCCTGGACTGAATATACCAGGTGTCATATTTCCAGTGGACACCCAACATGGCATCCAAAATGGCTACCTAGCGGCAAAAAACGAACTTCACAAAGTTGTAGGGGGAAATTGTTGTTACAATAATGATTACTCTTTATATTTAAGGTTATTTGTAAACTAGATTGACATATTTTATGTCTCAAGTTATTAAAAGTACAAGTTAATTTTTTTTAAATAAATGGAATCAGCTGATTGATCAAACGCAGTTTTGCCAATTGTCAGAAAAAAAATCCACTCAGGGTCGGTCGGGTTACAGGAAACATTTTAACAAATATAATTTTTTTAGTAGGTTTTAAAACAATCACAATCAACAAATACAATAGGTTTTTAAAAGTGTGTTTTGGTATAAGATTAAGCGTCTATATGATGAAAGAGAAATATAAAAAATTTAAAATGGAACCAAAACGAACCTCGGACAAACGGACCGATTTTACTAGATAGTGCATCGGACCAATCAGATTTTCACCTGTTTTGTCCGACGGACCGGTGCTTTTGGGATAGACTGAATGTAGCTATATTTCTAATTCAATTTCTTGATTTCAAGCACTGATTTTTCATAGCTTTCCAACATTTAAAGTCTATTTCCCACAGACAATACCCGAACAGTTTCTTTACAAAAATATAGCTATAACCATGATAACATGGCCAATTTGAATGTTTGCTAGCATCTCTTGAGACTCCAGATTGTATTGACTGTATCTAATCCTGTACTGTTAAGTAATTGAAAGTCAGTCATTATTAGTTATGTATATTCTGATGCCTTGGTGCTCCATCAGTTGAGACATGTAAATGAGAGGCAAATGAGGGAGAGGGGAGATGGAAGTACAGCCTCGTCATTTCATTATTCTCACTTTAACTACATTCTACAACTGTTAAAAAGATGTGTTTCTGGCTCAATCATCGCCCCATCCATTACATATTCATTCACACTTAAATATTTCATAATAAACCAGAAAATACAGGGGTTTTTTTATTTAAAATTGTGATGTTGTGATGATCCACCCCTCTCCCGTTACCCTCGATGAAACTTCTTATGGAAAAACATCTAAAATTGTACTCACCAGAGAGATCAAACATATTGCTGTTGGTGTTAGCCATTGCTTTTTGCACTGTTCACGTAAAATGTCAAAAAGTAAATTAAAAAAGCCCAGGTGTTTTTTTTGTCCGATCAACTTCCTCTCTCGGGCGCCATTAGTCATGCATGACTGGTCGGTTATCTTCGGATTTTGCCGTTTATATTCGTATTTTTCGAAAACTTTTTTTTATTATTTTTCCATTTCAATTTTCTCCTCAAATTAAAGGAATTCAGCATATTTTAATGTTCATTGTAAATATTATGAAACTTTGGAATTTAAATTTTTCGGAAACCCTTTTGAAGCTACCTATCGAAAAGAAAGAGACCAAGAGGTTACGAGTGTCAAAATGGAGAAAAATTGAAGATTCTACGAAATTAGAAACGCCTCCCAAATTTCACCATGTTACTGGTTTTAGAACAGCTTAGGGTATGTTTCATTTAGAACATTTTGTGTTAAATCATTTGGTTGATTATATAAAAAAGAATTTTATACTAACCTACTAATATATATTTTGAACTTTTTTAGCATGTTTACAGTTTAGACCACAAACTTGAACATGTTGATAATTATTTTTTATTTAATTTCAAGTCGGCATTTTGTACAGTGGAGTTGATGTTGAATAAATGAGTATTATTTCATGTGAATCGTTCATATATATAAGCAGGAACTTGCAAGTTACAGGCTAACAGGCTACATCTTGCTTATTTTTAAAGTCTCAGGTGTGATCCATTACTTCTAAAGGAAATATTCGTGTAGTCCACTGTTGTTTTAGAAGTGTAACAGGAAAGAAGAAAATGTATGGCTAGACTTGGAATGGAACCTGTGACCTAAGCATCACTAGTCTGGTGCTTTACTAACTGAGTCACCCAATTATTATGCACCGTGCTGATCACCACAGTCCAACCTATTACATTCCTCCCTTTTTATTAAATTGTCTTCACCCTCAAATACGCAATTAACCCAAGTTCGTATTACCCCCTGCCAAGACTTTGGTTGTCCGAAATATGACATATTCTAGCTGCCAGGAAAACATCTTTGCTTGCAAGTCCAGGGGTGGTCATCACAACAAATCTGTAAAAGAAAAGGAGAAAATGTATGGCAGAACTCAGAATCGAGCCCAGGATCCCTGCATCATAAGTCAGGTGCTCTACTGACTGAGCTGCACAAGCAGATATTCATGGCCCAAAACATTACAGAAGCTTGAAATGATTACACATTTAACACTCTCATTTACTAAATGCTCTCTAATTGATTTAGCAAGCACTATATGGAGGATTCATACAAGTATATTAGAATTATTTTCTTAATGAATGACCTTTATGGCATAATAATCAAGTTAGACAAGCTATATAATAATAAAATAGAAAACAATGGATGTGTATTGCATAACCCCTTAACAACATCATTACCCTAACTCACACTCAGGAAAATCCATGCTACCGGTATTTGTAAATGCTATGGACCAGAATAGTTTCAAAGACCCCCCGAAATTCCAGGCAGGTATCTATTTGGTCACTGTGATCAAGTTACATGACTGCTTTATTCCCCTTTCCTTGAAGACATCAACTCAGGTTATTCCCTGCCAGGCCTTTCAGCTGACCCTTCTAGGACATAGTGACACTTGATGTAAATGGAAGGTAGAAAATGAAATGGTCCAGTTGGCGTCCGAATTCTTGACAAATGTTCTACCATCTGAGCTCTCTGATCACTACTGATCTGCCAAATTAGTGTACAGTTGAATTATAAAATACATATACTGTACATAAATTTATCCCGCTTCAGACAAATTTGTCGATTTATTACGTCTCCGTTTCCATAACGTCTCCGTCGAGGCGTAATATGAAAATACATATATTGTAAATAAAAATGGTGGCATAAATATATTATGTACGATATTTTATGTTGATTGTTATTGGATTAAAACTAATATTTTCATAATATGCACAAATAATATATTGTATATCTTATTAACCAAATGCTTAGTGTCTCCATCACACACTTTAGTCTTTAGTGTGTAAAACAGAGTTGCTGGTTTCTGCTATTTGTATATAAAGTACTTAATATGGCATTTGTATGTTATTTTTAAGGTGTATTTCTTCATCTCACCTGAGTTATCTCATTGTTCAGTCTCACCACAACAAATGATAGGAAAGAAAATTAGAATAAACCAGTTTCCAATCAATATTGCATTTTATAAATGAATTTAAGTATTAAATAGATATTTTGGTATTCAAGCATTTCAACATTTTGAACATTATTTAATACAGAATCTAAGATAAAATAGAAAGATCTTTGACTTTCTCATTAGCATGCAACTGATTTATTCTTTTTATAAATATGACATTACATAGATCTACATTTCAAAAAAAAGTTTCCTTATTTATACAGTAGAAATTAGTAATATCACAATGAATATACCAGGAAATTTTTGTACAACTTATTTTTAATTCTTTTGACATGAAAGCACTGTTAAAATTTTAACGTTAGTTTGTTAGCCTCTGTGAATGTCAATAGAGTTTTACTTTGCTTATGATTAGCCACTGTGTATTTCAGTTATGGATATAACTTTGGTTTGTTTTGCTATTCTATAGAAGTAAACCAACTATATATATAGTAAGCTTATTTGAACAATGTAAAGAAAGAAATCTTGTTTGTTTACACATTATTCTTCATATCTTAAAATCACAATTAATCAAGATGTATTACGACAGTATATAAATATAACCTTTTAACTGAAGATGAAATAAGGAAAAAACAATGGAGAATCAGAATAAACTGAATAAACTCACGGCACCAAAATTGTTGTGGAAAGAATAAACTGTATTGTGGAAACATAACGTACAGTATTGTGACGAATATCTTCATGGTTGTAAATATTCTAATAGAGTATAATAATTTATTTGAAACATTGATGCTTGTAAATTATTTTTAATGGATGTAATCTGTGATTAGGTAATTACAAGCACCTTTTTTTTCTCCTCAGATAAATCCACCATGACATGAACCATGTTAGATATAGCAGTGCTGGCCGGGATATGTCTGAGCTTCGCCTCAGTCCTACTTGTGTTCGGATGTATTTGCCAGCTGTTCAAAAAGTCATCTCCTGAATTTTCTGTAAGATTTCTAAAATACCTCTGGTAATTTTTGGCCAAGTATAAGTCTCTATATTGAATGCTATTTGCAAGTGTTTTGCCTTAATTTTATCAGGAATGCAAGGAAATTTTTTGAAAAATGTATGCACATTTATGTCTATGTATGAAGATTGAATTTTTTGCTAAATTATGTTTGATGTAAGATATTGCATATGAAAAGTTATGAAAAATAATGATTAATGACTTTGATACCATAATGCACAGTTATTTTTTCTGTTGCAGACTTTTGAAAATGATGTTGAGGCAGGCCACGGTCAGGGATTGTCCATATTTTCTACCCAGAATGCAGCTGCTGAGACGTCAGAGGTCAGCCAGGTCACATTTGAGCCACTGCCAGATATACTCGCCAAAACCGTGTCAGCCACAGCACTCCGACCAAGGATCTCAAGCATCGAAAAAGAACAGCAAAGGATCACTGCTAAACACATCAGTAAGAAAGATTTATATCTATGGTCTTCATAAAAATTTACCCCGATACTAGTATATATAGGCATTGGATGAAGTTTTAGTATATAACTGATTTCATACACCTGTTAGTGTATTTTGGAAGTAAAAGTAACTAAATTTATTACTAAATGTTGTTATTATAAATGTTTTAATTAAATAACCACATTGTCTTTCATTTAATCCTCAGCTGTGTACAGACCATTTCCTCGCAGCAATCTTCTGTATGTGAAGGAGATTGGCATTGGGTGGTTTGGTCAGGTAAGGTTATTAGAATCAAAAGCAATTTTATTTTTTTTTGGGGGGGGGGGGGTTAAATTACTTAAAAAGTCAGTTGATTTTATTTCCCTGAAAGATTTCCTTGTTGATATTTTATGTTACAGTATGATATCAGATGAACAATTGTATATTGTTTTATATTACAGGTATTACTTGGTGATGCTGAGAAAATTAACGTCAATTCTAAGAAGACGAGAGTGGTTGTCAAACTGCTGAAGGATGATGCTACAAGTTCTGAACAACAGCTGTTCTTAGAGGAAGTTGCTGCTTATAGGTAACAATTAATTTAAACAATTTTTTTATGTGTAAACATAACAGTATTGGACAGCAGGCACTGCCTATATAAGTCCTCTCCATCTTTGAGGTAACAGTTGTCATCTGGGTACATGAATATAAAGTATATACTCATGTAAATGGATTTCAAGTTTGTTTTTTTTTTAAAATTTATTAGCTGATTCCATTTCATACTTGCTAGGATATGAAAAAAAGATTATTTAATTTCTATTGGTACATGTATTAACTAAATGAAATTTTCAAATTTTGGTAAATACACTAAATATATTCATAAATATTGTATTTTCTGAAAAGATGCATTAATCTAAAAATGAACTGTAGCTTCTCTTTTTAATTCATTTGCTTGTTTCTGTAAATAAAGTCCATCCTTTTTCAAGTAACTTTTTTGATTTAAAGTATTTTTTTTTTTTTTTGAAATTTTATCTTTCAGAGAGATTGAGCATCCCAATGTGATTCAGCTCCTGGGCCAGTGCACGGAATCAGCACCATTCTTAGTCATCCTGGAACAGGCACCATTTGTAAGATTGTCGTATTTCACATACAGTTAAATTTTAAAGTTTTCAATTTCTTTTAAATATCAGGAAATTGACAATTGTAGGATATCACTTATGACTATTGCATTTGTTTTTTTGAAATTTGAAATGTATTTTCATATTACTGGAATTTCAAAACTTGTCAGCTTGTAAACATTTCATATAAAAATCCTATTCTAATTTTAAAGGGAGATGTGAAGTCCTACCTAAAGAGATGTCTTCCAGAACGAGATTCCTTCATTAAGCGGAGTATGCCCTTGAGATTTATCATAGACATGGCCTCCGGACTGGCCTCACTGCACAGGCATGGCTACCTACACCAGTGAGTACATAGTTTTAAAATATTTAATCAATTTGTGAAATACATTTGAACTTCAAAATCTCAGTTACAGTGGATGTACATGTATTTTAAACCTTGGAATCTGGAATCATAGGATATCTGTAGTTTTATCATGATCCCATCGAGTAAGGGATAATGAGGTTTAAATGTGTTTATGTTTCCAAAACAATGTTAAGCAAGTGTATTAGAGGCTCCAGTGTACAGAAACAGGGTATAAATATATATCTAAACATTATACAACTTTTAAACCGGATTTCACAAAACTTTAACTCAACTGTAGCATTGCCATACAAAATGAAACAAAGATTTAAAAAATTAAAAAGGAAAAAAAGAAGGCCTATTTTGTAAAGGTTGTGCAGAACAAGTGTACATAAACATGATTTACCAGTTGTTGTCAAATAATTTTCTTTTGTTTGCAGTGATTTTTCCTGTCGTAACTGTCTGGTCATGTCAGATCTGTCAGTGAAGGTCGGGGACTATGGTGTGGCAGAGGATCACTACAGGGTCTGTGTTGGAAACATAACTATTTATTGAAATATTCTTTATTGAAAATGAAGTATAAAAAATATAAAATGAAGGAATGGAATAATTTTTGCAAATATCTATAATACATGTATCTATGCTCATGAACCATCTCATACATGAAAATTTGTTCTTGAAAAAGAAATCGGTGACAAATACATGTAATTACTAAACTCAACATGAACACCTGCAATATTAGCCTATTACTTTAATATGAGTGTTATGCAGTTAGAAACTAACATTTTAGTAACAGACATGCATACAAATTGACAACAAAGTAAATTTTTCTACAGGAGGATTATTATGACACGGGGCAGAACCTGCTCCCCATACGCTGGATGTCCCCGGGCACCCTGGAATTACAGGACCACATCTGGCAAGTCACAAAGTTCTCCAGGGAATCCAATATCTGGTAGGCACTTCAGGATAAAAAGTAATACTACAATGGTTATACAGTGTATATGATCTTGGTTCATACAATAATTTAAAGGGATATTTTTTTATGTCATAGAATGTTCTTCAGACCGTGATATCAATTCTTGAAAGTAAATCTGGGATTTTGTGCCCTGAGTATAAACTTGGTATGTATATTTATGTGAATTTGCCTTTCGTTTTTGTAGGTCATTTGGAGTTGCATTATGGGAAGTTTTAGAATTTGGCCAGCAGCCTTACCACTTCATGTCAGATGAGGAAGTTTTACAGAAGGTCATTAAACTGAGGGTGGTGGGTCTTACCACTGCACCGACAGAGGAACAGAAGGATCTGTATGTATACATACATGTAGAAGACACATCAGACTAATTTTTATTTTATATCATCTAATGAAGTACCAATAAAAGAAAAGAAGAATGATCTTTAAATTAAATGTCAAATTTAACTGTTTATTTAATATTTTTGTACTTAATCCAACCATATTTGTGTCAATTTTAACTAAAAAATTTGAGTTTGAATTCAATTGGCTACTATTCATTTCTGCAACCATAAAAATATTTTACATACTAATTCATACATAGCTAGAATAATAATTCCTAGTGAGAAATATTCACAAGTAAAAGGATATTGTGAAACTGGAGGAAACTGTATTTCTTGCAAATACTTGTAAAAGTAGTTTTGCAGTAGCTTCATTTGTTGAAGACAATTTATTTCAGGTTATTTGTTACAATATGATAATCAAAATGCATTTTAAATTTTACACAGGTCTGACCTTATTCCTGTTTGTTGTGCTGGAGAGCCCCCAAGTTTAGAGGACATCCACTCACGCCTGCTCGAGATACAAAAAACTAAACAAGAGCATCGAACCAGTCTGGAGATTGAATTTGATTCCAAGTGGGAGCAGGCCCCCACAAAAGTGGAACCAAAGGTTGTAAATGTTCAAAAAGACATTCCTCTCGATCCCTCAGAAGCTATAGCTGTAGATGTCCAGAATATGGCGGCTAGTCCCAAATCACAATCATCTCTGTCATCACCTTCCATCGTTAACGTTGTAGCAGATGTTCATCTTCCACCAAAAGATCATTTGATGAAAACAGATCTCCAGTCAGATTCTTCAAACATACCTGTAGTTAGTGAAAGTACTAGTGTATCTAAACCTGTGAGTGCAGTTACTAGTACTGCAAATGTGCCATTGAAAACTGAAGAAGTGGGGGATGTCATAATGAATGGTCATATTGAGGATGTGGAAAAGCCCTATGATGCTAGTTCTGTCCAAACAATTTCTAATGGTTTAATTGATGAGCCTCCTGTGAAACAACAGTCTACAGATGATAGTGTTAACATGGAAGAATCTTTTGACATTTTGGGGGGAAACTGTGATATTCAAGTGGAGAGTATGACAAATTTTCAGTCTCCCTTGCCAACACTTAACTCCCCTCTCAAATTAAGGAGTTCTGATCATTTAACAAGTACCCCGGTAGAGAAAAAGGAAAAATCGGATGAAGTCCTGCAATCAGAAGAATCAGAAATCCAGATGGAAGAGAATCAGGAAGAAGTGGAGTTGAGGAAGAAAGTGTGTGATGGAAGTGAAAGTCCCACTGGCAGGGGAAGGAAACCTGTGAAAGCCATGACACCCAGGGCCTTATCTGAGGAGATGGAGGAGGATGACAGTACAGGACGTTACTCAGCCTCCGACATAGATAAAGCTTTAGACTTAATGAATGAGAGTGGGGGTAAGGATAGTGTTCCAGCGGTACAAAACGAGAGGGATTCCTTGAGTTCTGTGAATGAAGAAGACAATGAGAAAGATGATGAAGAAGATAAACTGAAGTTGTTAAGAATGACAATTGCTAATGCTCTGGGGCAGAAGGAAGTTGAATCTCAGGTTGACGAGGATGGTCAAAACAGTGACACAGAAAATCCATTCATGGATGACCTAGATATCGCTAAAGAAATATACAGGTCGAAAGGGACCACTATTCCTCCTACAAATCATACAACATCAAGGACCTTAAATACAATTCCAGAGGATGGAATCCCTGCAGAAGACAATTTGGTAGAGACCGCCAGCAATACCAATACAGATTCCACAAAATCCAGTCCCATAAAGAAAGCTTTAAAGTTTGATCCATTTGATGAGTCCATTTTTTCGAGTTCAGCACAAGACACTTTCGAGTGGGATGACTACATAGGAGATGAGCTTGTCGGGAAAGTGAATGACGAGGACTTTACGGATTCCCCGAGGCAGTCCATGGAGTTTCCGGACTGGACTTTAGAAATGGATGCTTCGTCCAGTTCTGCAAGTGAATCATTAAATCATTCCAAACCAGCAAGTGAGGCTTCCGACAGCCGGCCTGCAAGTCGAGCTAGTAATCATTTGTCGACCTCTGAGTCGGAGGTAAAAAGTCCGGTCGGATTAGCTGCTCGCTCCTATGTCAAAGATCTCCTATCTAAAAAACGCTCAAGTGCTTCGCCATCTCTTTCCTCTTACATATCTGATAAATCCTCTTTCTATGCTTTATCTCACAATTATGACCTAGATTCGTCTGAGCATGTCCCCTCAGACTCCGAACTTTCCAATTCTCCGGTCAGTGTAGCCAATGGAGATGGTGCATTTATAGAGGAATGGGATCTTGTTTAATCCAAGACTGATATATCTTTATAATCACATAATCAGGTAACTAAGCCATTAATACACTCTGCATGTGTCCACGTTTTCTTTGTTTCAAAGTTTGAATGTTTCTAGGTTATGTTTAAAATTTTTCATTAGGCTTTGCTTGAAGTCTAACAGCATTTTTAAAAATTATTTTCTCATTTTTTTTGGGGGGGGGGGCTTAGAATTAACTGTTATGAAGTTTGGTTTTCTGCACAGGAACTTACAATTTTCCTACAAAATTACATTCATTTAAAAAATATTCAACTTTATCTTATGCACATTTTTGAAAAAGGTGGTGATTTTCTAAGTTAAGTTTGAGCACAGTGCAGGTGTGTACAGCTAGATTATAATTGTATTTAATGGTGTTATATTAAAATTTTATAAATTTAATTATTTTAACATTTTTTACATACATGTATGTATACTTGTATTAGTATTTTTAATGCATGAATAGATAAATTTAGCATGCTAAAGTTGTACCTGAAATATATATAGGCAGAAGTGCATCTTGTAACATTAGTAAATGATATGAATGCTATTTACCCTAATCTAGTTATTGTTTGCCGTAATTATTTACTTACCCTTAAATTGGATTAACTTGGACCTTAGACCTTACCTTTAGGCATTATCAAAAGAAATAATAAAAGTTGTAAGCTATGCACACAGGAATGCATAACAATGCTAGTATAAATATGGTAGAAGTTGAATTTGTAATTTGTACATGTACACCATAATTTGTGTGCATAGGATAGGATATTTTACAACATGAAAAATTTTATTCAATAGGAATCAAAAAAATAAATTTATTTCCTCAGGTTATAAACATTATACATTTTACTCTGGATATTTCTGAAGATTTTAGCATCAAGATTTAATTATGTAAATTCATTACCTTTCTTTCAGATACTTTGTGTCTTGAAATAAATTAAGGTGGTTTTCCTATTTTTCACACTGTAGGACTCTGATGAGGACCAAGACGTTGATCTCAGCACTAGTACTCTACAAAACACGGTCAGGGAGGAGGAGAGTACCTTAATAGCAGATGACCAAGTCACGCCTCAGCTGGCAGAGGACATGCATGATCGCACAGCAATTCCAGAGAAAAATTCCACAGGGAATTCAGAGGAATTGGCACAGGAAGGGGTCAAAGGTCAATTGCAGTCGGAAGCAACTCCTAGCATTCCTGCTTCAGAGAGCCAATAGGCTGACACAAAAAGACGAGTTTTAGATTTTACATTCTTATAATATCTGCCAACTACATGTATTTGTATACATCAGATGTACTATGGATTTCTTGGTGAACAAAACAGTTTGTAAATTTCAAAGACTATTATAAATGGGTGACCTTTTACAGGTGTCACAAATTATTGTATCTGTTCCAAATGAAAGGTACTAATATTCACTGTTTTATAAATAATGTATTTACATGTACATGTATAAGAGATGCTAACCAGAATACAGAATTACACATTATTTATTTAAGATTTGTATTTGCTTGAAAAGTACTTTCTTGGTATTTTTAAAATCTAAAATTGAGATTTTTTTCATATATGTAAGAAACAGAATTTTTACTAGCACATTTACATCATAATTTGTTACTTGACAGGAGGATTTGTGGAAATTATGCTACAGAGTTATGAAGGTCTTATGAAAATTTAGGGAGTGCTGTCACATTAGTAAAAGTGTTTTCATGAAGTGCTTAAATATGAAACCAGTGAAAAAAGAGATTATGGTATTGGATGTTTTTAAAATCTAAGTGCTGCATTGTTGAACATTGGCAGTTTGAAGCATTTTTGTGGGTCATATATGTTATATATACATGAATAATTTTTATAATCTCTGTTATTGCTAACTTAAATTTATTTGTATGATTATACCTCTGTGCAATAATTATTTTCTTATCTTATCTAGTCTGTATAGAATTAGGGGGTTATGATACCATTAAATAAGAATTTGAATTATTACTAAAATTGATGATTTTTTTTTTGTGGTGTGTATGATAGCTTAAATTATGCATTAATTAAATTAAAAAAATATAGTCTATTTTTACGTTAAAAAAATTATTTCTCAGCTTGAGAAGTTTTTGATCAACTAGGCTGTAACTGAATCACTGCAAGTTAAAATTTAATCAATTTATAACTCGAATCCATTTCACATTAACACATATCAGTATTGTTGATTTGTCATATATTTACAGAAGAGTTTTCGTTTTTTACAGTTGTATATTGATGCTTTCATGAACTAATGGTTCTGAAAAAATTAATTTTATACAAGTTTATCATGCATTGTGCTTTTGAATAAATGAATATTTTTATGCATTTTTAAAGCCTTGATTTATTTGGTAAAAAATTATCAAGATGGTAAAGGTTTTGGTTTAGTTTCAATATCAGTCCTCAAATTTCTGCAATCATTTAAGAATTTGGGTTTTCTCCCAAGACTTTTATGGCAGCTGTGGCATTCCATACTTTTACCCTTATACAGATGTTTTAAGCTGAAAAAATAAAAAATATTTCAAAGCTCGTCTCAATAAATGTTATCTTTGTAAAGCAAAGTCACAATCTAACAATATATACAAGCTTTGTATGGGTAGGATTTTTAGTTACTTGGGAGTTGAACTTGCTCCAAGAATTTTTAGCTCACCTGAGCTAAAAAATAACTTAAGGATGAAATAAGATTTTTAAATTATTTTTGTGTGAAATGCTATTAAATTATATAAGTTGTAATATTGTACAGAAAATATCAACTTCAAATCTGTTTCCATGCACCTTTAAAAATCTACTTCTAAAGAATCACTAGGTTAGAAAAACTGATACTTATGTGGAAGCATCCTGGAAAAGTGTAAATTCTAAATTGTTAAATTGTGACAAAGCATATTTTTGAAGCCACAATAGGTAGTTACAAGGGGAAATCTGTATAAGAATGGCATCACCAATGTTACTCAGGTGAGCAATTTGGCCCATGGGCCTCTTGTTCTGTTCTGTCATCTTGAAGTTCAGTCATCTGGAAATTTTCAAATCCAGCAGTGGAAGCAGATCTGGTAGTGGCTAACCCTTGATGCATCATCCATGCAAGTTTGGACACGGCTTAAAGTAAAATGGGAATTTATGGTAACTGTGGCATAAGGTAACTTGGGAATAAACTGCAATCTGGTATTCATCCAGAAAATGTAGGTCACATTCAGAAATGAAAGTCTAGTACTTTCATCATTACAAATCAACCTTTGCTGATTTGTTTCAGGTAGGACTTATAATTACCTGAATGTAAACATCCAAATTCTAAAGCAAGTTACTTGTAAAGTACATTCTTTCAAGTCTGGTACTGGTAGGACATTTAGTTACTTGAGAATGAGACCTACTTAAAAAAAAACAAAACAAAAAACAAGAGGCCCATGGGCCACATCGCTCACCTGAGAAGCTTTGACCATTCTGTTCTTTACCAGATTTCACCCTTGTTATACATAATGCATCCCCACATTACCCCACTGATCATAATTTAGACATTTTGAAATCTACGTACACTACCCCATGATCCTTCCATTGGCACATACATGTATGTTTCAGCTTTTTTGGCCCAGTGGTTCCTGAGAAGAAGATTTTCAAAGATTTTTCCTATATATTTCTATGTAAAACTTTGATTCCCTATAATGGCCCCGCCCTTCCCCCGGGGGTCATGATTCCTACAATTTAGAATTTACACTACCCCAGAATGCTTCCACATAAGTTTCAGCTTTTCTGGCCCAGTGGTTCTTGAGAAGAAGATTTTCAAAGATTTTTCCTATATATTTCTATATAAAACTTTGATTCCCCATTGTGGCCCCGCCCTTCCCCTGGGTGTCATTATTTGAACAATTTAAAATCTACACTATATCAGGATGCTTCCACATAAGTTTCAGCTTTTCTGGCCCAATGGTTCTTGAGAAGAAGATTTTCAAAGATTTTTCCTATATATTTCTATGTAAAACTTTGATTCCCCATTGTGGCCCCACCCATCCCCCGGGGGTCATTATTTGAACAATTTAGAATCTACATTATACCAGGATGCTTCCACATAAGTTTCAGCTTTTCTGGCCCAGTGGTTCTTGAGAAGAAGATTTTCAAAGATTTTTCCTATATATTTCTATGTAAAACTTTGATTCCCCATTGTGGCCCCGCCCTTCCCCCGGGGGTCATGATTTGAACAATTTAGAATCTACACTATACCAGAATGCTTCCATATAAGTTTCAGCTTTTCTGGCCCAGTGGTTCTTGAGAAGAAGATTTTCAAAGATTTTTCCTATACATTTCTATATAAAACTTTGATTCCCCATTGTGGCCCCGCCCTTCCCCCGGGGGTCATGATTTGAACAATTTAGAATCTACACTATACCAGGATGCTTCCACATAAGTTTCAACTTTTCTGGCCCAGTGGTTCTTGAGAAGAAGATTTTCAAAGATTTTTCCTATATATTTCTATATAAAACTTGATTCCCCATTGTGGCCCCGCCCCTCCCCCGGGGGTCATAATTTGAACAATTTAGAATCTACACTATACCAGGATGCTTCCATATAAGTTTCAGCTTTTCTGGCCCAGTGGTTCTTGAGAAGAAGATTTTTAAAGATTTTTCCTATATATTTCTATGTAAAACTTTGATTCCCCATTGTGGCCCCGCCCTTCCCCCGGGGGTCATGATTTGAACAATTTAGAATCTACACTATACCAGGATGCTTCCACATAAGTTTCAGCTTTTCTGGCCCAGTGGTTCTTGAGGAGAAGATTTTCAAAGATTTTTCCTATATATTTCTATGTAAAACTTTGATTCCCCATTGTGGCCCCGCCCTTCCCCCGGGGGTCATGATTTGAACAATTTAGAATCTACACTATACCAGAATGCTTCCATATAAGTTTCAGCTTTTCTGGCCCAGTGGTTCTTGAGAAGAAGATTTTCAAAGATTTTTCCTATATATTTCTATGTAAAACTTTGATTCCCCATTGTGGCCCCGCCCTTCCCCCGGGGGTCATGATTTGAACAATTTAGAATCTACACTATACCAGGATGCTTCCACATAAGTTTCAACTTTTCTGGCCCAGTGGTTCTTGAGAAGAAGATTTTCAAAGATTTTTCCTATATATTTCTATATAAAACTTTGATTCCCCATTGTGGCCCCGCC